TCCCCCCGTGGCGGGGCTCCCCCTCCCCCCCCGCCGTGGGCGCCGGGTGTCTGCCTTGCTGCATTGCTGTAGGCGGCGGGAGCACTGCGTCGCCTCGAGGCCTGGGGCATCTGCCTGTCTCGGTTGTCCGGGTGGATGGCTGCACAGGGAACCGCATCCCTGCCGCAGTTAAACGCTGTGAGTGTTGGCTGCTGCTGCCTGGGAGTTGGTGCCTGTCAGGTGTTGGGTGCCCCTGACTGCCAGCAGCGGTGTCGTGCACACCTGGAGGCTGTGCTGGTGTTGGGGTGTCCCTCGGTCAGCTGTGCGGGGGTGCCTCGTCGTTGTGCGGTGTCTGCCACGGTGGAGACTGAGCGTTGGGTAACACAGGCACGGGGCGTCTGTGTCGATGACAGCACTGGGCATGTGTTAGTGCCGGTGACGGCCACCTGTGCTGGTGTTGACTGCTGCAGCTATGGGGCATCTGGGTCACTGCGGGTGTTGGGTATTGGTGTCTGTTCTGGTGTTGGGTGTCTCAGAGGGTGTTGAGCATCCATGTCAGCGCAGGTGTTTGGGCACTGCAGCTGTGGGGTAGCTCTGTGGGTGTTTAGGTACTGCATCTGTTGGGTAGCTCTGCGGGTGTTTGGGTAAGTAACTCTGTGGGTGTTTAGGTGCTGCATCCGTTGAGTAGCTCTGCGGGTGTTTGGGTAGCTCTGCGGGTGTTTGGGTAGCTCTGCGGGTGTTTAGGTAGCTCTGCGGGTGTTTGGGTGCTGCATCCGTTGGGTAGCTCTGTGGGTGTTTGGGTGCTGCATCCGTTGGGTATCTCTGTGGGTGCTTGGGTGCTGTGGCTATTGGGTAGCTCTGTCAGTGTTGGGCGTCTGTGTTCTGGTGTTTATCTCAGAGGGTGTTGGGTATCTATGTTAGTGTTGAGCATCTGTCAGTGCGGGTGTGCCGGTTTTGGGTAGCCACCAGCGCAGGTTGGGAGGCTGGGTATCTGTGCAGGTGTTGAGTGTCTGTGCCAGTGCGGGTGTTGGGTGTCTGTGTGGATTTTGGATGTCTATGTCATTGTTGGTGTGTGGGGAACCACAGGTGTAGGTTATGTGTGCAGGTGTTGGCTCTCTGTCGGTGCTGGTGTTAGATGTCCATGTCACTGCGGGTCAGGTTTCTGCACGGGGGTTGGTTCTGCATATCTGTTTACGAGGGTTTGAGACTGGTAGCGTCGGGTGTACGCTTGTTCCAGGTGTTGGGTACTCCAGGTTATGGCTCTGTGTCACAACGGGTGCATGTGTCACTGCAAGTACTGCTGTGCAGTGCAGGCGTGGAGAGTGGTTGCGGATAGTGAGCTGCACAGGTGGAGGGTATCTGTGCCTCTGGGGCTGCTGGGTCAGTGCGGGGTGGGGGTGTCTCAGGCGGGGGGTCACCCATGCGTGGGGTGACAGTGACTGCAGGTGCTGGGCAGGCTCCTGGGTGTTGCTTGTCTGTGTCCCAGGGTGTCAAGTGTCCCGAGAGGGAGGGACAGCTGCTTGTTTGGAGGCGTGCGGTGTTTGTCACGTGGTGCTGAGCGGGGCTGACCCTGCAGCTGGGTGTTGCATTGTGCCGCACGGGGTGTTGGTGTCGCTGCCGCTGTGGGTTGCCTTTCGTGTCACCGTGGCCTGCAGATGTGGTGCCCCGGGTCGCGGGGCTGTGGGTCGGGGTGTTTGTGGCAACGAAGGGGCTGGTGCTTCAGGACGCTGTGGGTGCGGGTGTCTGGGTCACGGCAGGTGTTGGGCTGGGTGTCTCCTACTGTACGCGTTGGGGGTCAGGTGCCTGTGTCACAGCAGGTGTTGGGCGTACATGTCACCGTGAGCGAGAGGTGTTGGTGCCTGCAAGCGCGAGGTGAAGTGTGTCTGTGCCAGGGCGGATGTACGTGTCACCGAATGTCAGCGCTGCCGGGTATCTGTGTCACGGTGACTGATAGGTGTTGTGTCACTGGGAGTCTCGAAGGTACGCGTTGCATGTGCGTCGATCCCTGCTGCGTGCCAGCATTGCTCTCACGTCACTGCGTCCCGTCGGGCCAGCGCCGAGGGCTTGGGGCGCGAGCGAGCACTGGCACCGCGGCTGTGCATCGAGGCCAGGGCTCTGCACTGCGCCTGTCAGCTCTGGATGTTTGGGTGTGCGTCTGTGTTGGCTGCG